AAGTATTTCATTTAGCCACTGTTTGGTCGTAGATTATTAATGCATAAGTATTTCATTTAGCCACTGGGTGGTCATAGATGATTAATGCATAAGTATTTCATTTAGCCACTGGGTGGTCATAGATGATTAATGAATAAGTATTTCATTTAGCTACTGAGTGGTCATAGATGATTAATGAATAAGTATTTCATTTAGCTACTGAGTGGTCATAGATGATTAATGAATAAGTATTTCATTTAGCCACTGGGGTGGTCATAGATGATTAATGAATAAGTATTTCATTTGGTCATAGATGATTAATGAATAAGTATTTCATTTAGCCACCGGGTGGTCACAGATGATTAATTAATGAGTATTTCATTTAGCCACCGAGTGGTCACAGATGATTAATTAATGAGTATCTCATTTAGCCACCAGGTGGTCATAGATGATTAATGAATAAGTATTTCATTTGGTCATAGATGATTAATGAATAAGTATTTCTTTCAAGGACCCTAGTACTGTTCACACATTGATTTCAGAAAGTTTTCATTCGGTGCATTCTATTTTTAAAAAACAATCTTTTTGTAAAAAACTACTTGGCCATTGCTACGCTTTCCAAAACTTGCGATACCCAGATAGTTTGTTTTTCTTATTAAACAAGTATTTTCTTTTTTTCTAGCCCAGGCCTGTTCATGGGTGATAAAGACAAACACGAACTGTTTCTGCCGTGCTTCTACAACATTTAAAAACACTTGAAGTGCTAAAGAATTAACATTCAAGTAGCTACTTACCACAAGAGTCACCTGAATCCTTGAATCGAATTTAAAGACAGCATGAAAGCATACTCTATTGCAGAGCACAAGATCTGGCTGACTGTTTTCTATAACAAAGTCACTCCATTTCAAGCCGCTTCCATCTGGTTTTCGTAACAGCTTGCTTCTAGCTTTTAATGCCTAGAATGGTTGTGTTAATGAACTTAGTTTCATGAAATAAACAACGAACTTCATGTTAAACTTACAAACATATCGTTATTTAAATGTTGAAATTCAACAATCTCGCTTAAAATGTCGTAATGCCTTGAAAATATAATAACTTCTTTAACGTTAATAAAAGCAGTATAGATATAGGCCCTGCTTAAGTGAACATATACTAGTAAAGACCCATATATATACATGTAGTCCCTGTTTGAGTTAAAATACGCTAATAAAGACAATTATATATAGGCCCTACATAAATGAACATATACAAGTTAAAACATATATATATAGTCTCTGTTTGAGTTCAAAGACTAATAAAGACAGTTATAGATATAGGTCCTGTTTGAATAAACTTATACTAGTTAAAACATTCATCACTAAGCACGGTAGATGGGTCGAGAAAAAAAATGGCCGACGCATTCTACCTACTTCTCTATGATGCTTACAAATAACTGCTAGTTGCCATCTATTCCAGTTTACTCATCATGACTAAACAATCTATCAAAGAATGTCAATCTTTCTGTTTCCACGCTAGCCAAAACAAAAACAGCTTGAGAACAGGGTGAAACAGGAATTATCAGCTAGTAATAGATGAACATTAGATGACTGTAACATGTACAATACTCAGTGCTTTCTACAGTATACAAATGGTGTCTTGATGGAGTCAACTTCTATATTATATATGAAGTTGTAAAAAACTCAATACACGTAATATTAAATTTTATTATAAACTTTCACAGTATACACTATATTTTAGTCAGAGGAAAAAACGTCACAAAACAAATAATAAAAACATTTTGTAAATGTAAAATAATGTAGGGATGGGAGTTCCACACAAAAACATGAATATATGAAACATGAACAATACATAGGTCACATGTTCTTTTCTTAGTGTAGGTTCATCAATGTTAAGTCCTAGGAAGTCAAGATTATGATCAGTGATGATTAATAATCTGTTGTAGCCATTTCTATGGTATAATATCAATATATGATGTCATTCCACAAGTGAAATGAAAAAACGGATATGATATTAACAATATCATATATTACCATTAAATTATAAAAGTATAACAAGTGTTCACATATCAACATATTTCGATGAAATTGTTTAAAAAAAAGGAAAAAATCAATAAAGAAAGTTTGTAAAAATGAAACATGATGTAGGGATGTTAATGCAAAGAAGAACAGAAACAAAACCATACAAGAACATTACATAAGTAGCCAACTATTTCCAAGAATAACTTTTAACTACAACTAAATGCTGAATTCCTGTCAGTTACATGAATTCAGGTTTGAATAAAAGAATTTCATCTTAATAGTGTTATACAGTCTTACAGTGGCTAATAATCATGAACTTGTGACATTGACTCAGCACCTACTAGCTGCTTATGTAGGGATTTTTGTATTTTGAGTATTCATCCCTACCTTGTTTCTATACATTTTGGCATTGCCATTCTTGCATCATACTTCATGTTTGCTATTTTTTTGTTACTTTAAAAATATATAGTTCCTGTTTGAGTTAAAAGACAATATAGATATACGTGTTGCTTGAGTTAGCAGATGCTAATTTAAAAAGATAGACGTAGGGCCTGCTTGAGTTAAAGACGCTATTTAATATATATATAGTCCCAGTTTGAGTTCAAAGACGCTAATAAACATAGTTGTAGATATAAGCTATGTTTGAGTTAACAGATACTACTTAAGACAGTATAGGGTTAGCCCCTGTTGGAATTAAAAGACGCTAATGAAAACAAGATAGACATAGGACCTGTTTGAGTTAACAGGTACTAAGTAAAACAGCATAGATATAGGCCCTGTTTAATTTAACACGTACTAAATAAAACAATATAGATATAGGCCCTGTTTAATTTAACACGTACTAAATAAAACAATATAGATATAGGCTCTATTTGAAATAAAAGACGCTAATAAACATAGTTGTAGGAACAGGTCCTGTTGTAAATACAGTTGTAAATACAGATCGGGTTTGAATTAAGGGATACTAAATAAGACAGTATTGGTTTAGACCCTGTTTTAGTTAAAATACGCTGATAAAGGTAGTACTGATATAGGTCCTGTTTGAGTTGAAATACACCGATGAAGACAGCTTAGATATAGGTTCTGTTTGTGTTATTAGATACTAATTAATAGGTATTAATTAAAACAGTATATACATAGGTCCTGTTTGAGATAAAAGACGCTAATAAACACAGTTGTAGGAACAGGTCCTGTTTGAATTAAGGGATACTTAAGTAAGACAGTACAGGTATAACTTTGTGCGAGTTAAAAGACGGTAATAAGGACAGTTGTAAGTACAGGTCCTGTTTGAGTTAAGGAATACTAAGTAAGACAGTATTGGTTTAGACTCTGTTTGAATTAAAAGACGCTAATAAAGGTAGTATTGATATAGGTCCTGTTTGAGTTGAAATACGCCGATGAAGACAGCATAGACATAGGTTCTGTTTATGTTATTATATACTAATTAGTAGTTATTAATTAAAACAGTATAGATATAGGCCCTGTTTATGTTAACATGTACTACTTAAAACAATATGGTATAGGCCCTGTTTGAGTTAACAGGTATTAATTAAAACAGTATAGATATAGGCCCTCTTTGAGTTAACAGGTACTAATTAAAACAGTATAAATATAGGCCCCGTTTGCGTTAACAGGTACTAATTAAAACAATATAGATATAGGCCCTGTTTGCGTTAACAGGTACTAATTAAAACAATATAGACATAGGCCACGTTTGAGTTGAAAGACGCTAATAAGGACAGTTGTAGGTACCGGTCCTGTTTGAGTTAAGGGATAGTATGTAAGACAGTATAGGCATAGGCTTACACATTGGCTATTAAAAAGATACATAATCTATATAAACTAACGTTATATTATTCTGTTAATTGTTCAGGACAAATATGATCACAGTAATATTTAAAGCATGAACCAGTTGAAAACTTATAAGTTATTATGTTCAGTTTAAAGAAAAGAAAAACATCAGTACGATTATATTCTTGTTACTGGCACCGGTCGAAGGACTTGTAATTTATTAAGACAAATCTAACTGTCTAAATATATTTGAATGAACAGTCAGTGTTGCCTAGACTTCATCGGTTTATTGAAATAAAAATTGGCAACCAAAGCATTTTATTCGAACTTTAATTGTTAATTGACATAATTTTAATAGGTGTTGTTTTAATAAACTAACGAAGTGAAGTGTATGGTATTTTATTTATTGTTTCAGATCTTGCGGCACAACTCACGTGATCAAGCAGTCTGACTAAAGCTTCCTGACACGAAGCTACTACAACTGAATAACTAGCAAGCAGATCTTCCCAGGTTTTGTTACCACGATGTCCTGATGAACTACTGGATGGTAGAGGGTGTTGGGAGGGATCTTCGCCCTGGTTTGAACACGAAACTGTCTGACGAGATCCTCCGTCTACAGCCTTGTCCTTTGACTTCGATACCTTTATTTCCGAACCAGTGTCCAAACCTGGAAGTCTGAATGGCACTGTCTTTACCATAATTTCAGTTTTATTGACGTCAGAATGATTTTGTGGAATATCCTGTAATAGAAATATTATATTAAAAAAGACAACCGATCAGAACTAATAATCTGTACTGAATTGTTTAGTTAAATAACTTGTGTTCTGCGTTTTTAACACGTTACCAACGAAATATAAAATCTTGCAGAAGGAGCTTGCAGACTTACACAGCTTGATGACATGGTTTAAAGCTGAGATCTGTATTTTATGAGACAGGTACTTCAAAAATGAGATTGAAGGTTAAAGTCGATTTTCAGTTTTTAATGTATAGGAAATATAACTAGACTATAAACGTCATGTGTATGTTGCATTTAATTTTTAAGCAATAAACATATAAAGTTATTTTGTTAAGCACAAAGCTACACAATACGCTATCTGTAGTATGCCCATCACGGTTATCGAAACCAAATAAACTAACTTGAAAATAAAGGAACCAATTAACATAAAAGAAATTCTGTAAATAACAAACGTATCATTAGAGATTTATATATATAAAAATATATCTTAGCGTGAAAACATACATTGTTAAAGTAGCCAAAAAGTAATAAATAAACACGTGATTGGTTGAACTTCAAACAAAATTTAAGACATACTCATACAATGAGTGTTTATCTTAATTAATTACTATTTACAGCTTCAGAATTTGTAGCTCAGTACTATTAGGCATTTTGTTATTCTCAGGTGCACTAATTTTTCTTAATAGTAAGGTGCCTGTTCTTTAAGTTCAATCTTTACTGCACATCAAAAATAATAAAAATATGTAACTAGGTGTATTTAAAGGTGCCTGTACTGTAAGTTCAACCTTTACTGCACACTAAACATAATACAAATATGTAACTAGGTGTATTTAAAGGTGCCTGTACTGTAAGTTCAACCTTTACTGCACACCAAACATAATACAAATATGTAACTAGGTGTATTTAAAGGTGCCTGTACTGTAAGTTCAATCTTTACTGCACACCAAGCATAATACAAACATGTAAGTAGGTGTATTTAAAGGTGCCAGTACTTTAAGTTCAATCTTTGCTGCACACCAAACATAATCAAAATATGTAACTAGGTGTATTTAAAGGTGCCTGTACTGTAAGTTCAATCGTTACTGCACACCAAACATAATACAAATATGTAACTAGGTGTATTTAAAGGTTCCTGTACTTTAAGTTCAATATTTACTGCACACCAAACATAATAAAAATATGTAACTAGGTGTATTTAAAAAAGCACTCAAACTTACAGGACAGGCAACTTTAAATACACTTAGTTATATATTTGTATTATATTTGGTGTGCAGTAAAGATTGAATTTACAGTACAGGCACCCTATGAAGTACAATATGATATGTTTTAAACTAAGAAACTAGAACATTATATATACAGTTCTATAACACTTTTCTTCTCAAGACTCGTGTGCTGCCTACGTCATTCACATCGAAAATTAAAGCGCTTGACTCGACAGTATGTTCGACTATAGAGAAATCTTTCCTACTAGGAACTTAGCTACTTCATTGACCAGCAGTCTATAGTCAAAACTAAATGTAATCAAATGCGTAAAAAATAATTGAATCTTTTAGTTGCACTTTAGAGTTACAGAAATTTCTAACACCCAGACCTGCAACCGCTTAAAATCAACAATTGTATATAAAAATATGTATCATTATGAATGAAGGGAACTTAGAGTGAGTCAGTTGTTTTAAGAAAACTACCAGAAGCTTTCCATTAATGTTGTTAATGCCAAAACATTATAATTGTATATAATACAACTAATACTTTAGGGAACTTAAAAGTTGACACGAAAACTGCAAATTTTGTATTAAAATCTTTTACTTAAAAAAAAATCAGCTCCAGTATAATACTTAGTTAAATTTCAAGAAAAAACATCCTAATTATGGGTTTGCGAAATGTTTCATTGTGGGACATGCTTTACAACATACAGAAATATTTAAGGTGTTAGGACTGTAGTATTGTTGTATTCCTCTAACTTCAAAAACGTGGTTTTTGAGGGGCTCAATTGCATACGTGATGAAAAGATTATTCAACCCGAAATATATTATACGTCAATATAGTGAAGATGGTTTTGTGATTTACAAAAACATATATAAAAACAATAAAGAGAAACTTAACAAACAATCTAGTGCTGTAAAAAACATCAAAATTATGCCTCAATATTATCACAAATTACATCGAAAATGATAGAACAAATTTAATAAACCCAATTGACACAAAACTGTATTGGCAAAACGATGTATAAATGTACAGTATTAGGAATCAAGCAGCTTATGCAACAATTGAATATTTCAGTCTAAGTATACGATACAGTGTTATTAATACGCCAGTATAATAAGAAATTGATATTGGAGTGAATATGTTTTCTTCTTTGTTCAGTGTGCAAAGTGCAGTTTAAAGTATAATACTGACTGATTATCTCTACATTACATATTATGTGTGTAAATTAAGGATGAGTTTCGGGTCAGTATGTGATCTAGCCTCAGCAAAGAAACTGACAAAGTTCAAGTGTTGAGCACCTGTTTGTGTGTAGAAAAGATTTAATGCCAAAACATGCATTTTACTAAGTACATATTGTAAAATTATTCTAACTGAAATTAAATTGTTACAATTACGTCTATATTCCTTACAGACTTAATTATGTACTTTTTCCAAACATTACTTTTAAAACACACTGAACATCAAAACCGCGTGTTGAAGCAAAGGTAATTTTCAGAATTCTCTCGATACGGGTAAGTTTGAATTTAAGCTTTAGCCCCTCCTAATATAGTCTCCTTGATTTTGATGAAATATATCTGGTTACTTCAGATATATAAACAGAAACATAAACAGAAATTCAATAAGTTTATTAAAAAATGAATCGATCGATAAAAATCATCTCATATTCTTGTGTAGCTTATTAAGTCTTTCTAATTGACCTTAAAAGTCAACAATACAGAAACTTCTCATGAATACAGCAATAAACATCCAAGATTTGTGTAATTATTCTTTTTTATTATTCTAACAAATTAAAGTTAAGAAAGAATATAATCACGGTACATGAAACAAACGTTAGAATTACAACTTTCAGATAACTGCAATCCATACATACAATTCTTCATTCCCAAAGATCAAATATTGTTAAGGCAAAGTGATATCGCTTCATCCCCAAAGACCAAATATGGTTATGGCAAGGTGATATCGCTATATGCCCAAATATCAAATATGGTTATGGCAAGGTGATATCGCTATATGCCCAAAGATCAAATATTGTTATGGCAAGGTGATATCGCTTTATCCCCAAAGATCAAATACGGTTATGGCAAGGTGATATCGCTATATGCCCAAAGATCAAATATTGTTATGGCAAGGTGATATCGCTTTATCCCCAAAGATCAAATACGGTTATGGCAAGGTGATATCGGTTCATCCCCAAAGATCAAATATGGTTATGGCAAGGTGATATCGCTTCCTTCCCAAAGATCAAATATGGTTATGGCAAGGTGATATCGCTTCCTCCCCAAAGATCATATATTGTTATGGCAAGGTGATATCGCTTTATTTCCAAAGATCAAATGTGGTTATGGCAAGGTGATATCGCTTCCTCCCCGAAGATCAAATATGGTTATAGCAAGGTGATATCTCTTCATCACTAAAGATCAAATATGGTTAAGGCAAGGTGATATCGCTTTATCTCCAAATATTAAATATGGTTATGGCAAGGTGATATCGCTTCATCCCGAAAGATCAAATATGGTTATGGCAAGGTGATATCGCTTCCTCCCCAAAGATAAAATATGGTTATGGCTAGGTGATATCGCTTTCTCCCCAAAGATCAAATATGGTTATGACAAGGTGATATCGCTTTATTCTCAAAGATCAAATATGGTAATGACAAGGTGATATCGCTATATCCCCAAAGATCAAATATGGTTATGGCAATGTGATATCGCTATATGCCCAAAGATCAAATATGGTTATGGCAAGGTGATATCGCTATATGCCCAAAGATCAAATATGGTAATGGCAAGGTGATATCGCTTCATCCCCAAAGATCAGACATGTAATCCTACATATCTAGTCATTAATAATAAAACTGAGTATTAACTAGCACGTGGCATGTAGCCTTACATATCTAGTTAATAATAATAAAACTGAGTATCAGCCAGCACTTGGCATATAACCCTACATATGAAGTCAATAATAATAAAACTGAGTATTAAACAGCACGTGGCATGTAACCCTACATATCAAGTCAATAATAATAAAACTGAGTATCAGTCAGCACGCGGCATGTAACCCTACATACCTAGTCAATAATAATAAAAGTGATTATCAGCCAGCACGTGGCATGTAACCCTACATATCGAGTCAATAATAATAAAACTGAGTATCAGCCAGCACGTGGCATGTAGCCCTACATATCTAGTGAATAATAATAAAACTGAGTATTAGCCATCACGTGGAATGTAGACCTACATATCTAGTCAATAATAATAAAAGTGAGTATTAGCCAGCACGTGGCATGTAACCCTACATATCTAGTGAATAATAATAAAACTGAGTATTAGCCAGCACGTGTCATGTAACCCTACATATCTAGTTAATAATAATAAAACTGAGTATTAGCCAGCACGTGTCATGTAACCCTACATATCTAGTGAATAATAATAAAAGTGAGTATTAGCCAGCACGTGGCATGTAGCCCTACATATCATAACACTTCCCTTACCTCTACAGTTGGCTGGATACCAAATTCTGTCTTCTGTTCTTCCTTGTTCTGGTGTTCTTCTGTTGTTTCATAATACGTACGTTCACTAATGCTTCCCTCTCCCTTCTAGTAGAGGAAGTATAAAAAGGAAAATAAGGCGTCCAAACCCATACTTATCTTAATATAATAAGATAAATTTCAATATAAAACTCTACAACATTTTTCGGTATGAAAGAATAAAAAATCCTATAATTTTTAGACATCTCCATTTATGAGAGGGTGAAATACATTACATTTTAAATTTTTGAAGAAATGTTATCTTTAATGATTTCACATCCTTTTGCTAAGTGTCACAGTTGACGTAAGACACCTACAATCACGTGCACTTTTATTATTATTTTTTAATTTACTGTTTTACGATCCTACCTTAAATTCAACGTTTTGGTAGTGGTGACTGGAAGTACTTTCCGCCCTCCCTACTGGCTCGTACCAGTCTTCCTTTCCGATCTTCGTGAGTCTTCGTGCCTTCAGTTGCTGAAGGTGAAGTTCGTTCCGAGTTTTTGGACGTTGAAAGGTAACGTACGTCTCCTTCATAAACCAGAATTGTAGGACTGTATTAGAGTGCTGGGTTTGTTCACTTACATATATTCCTGTTATTTTATTCCTCAGTAAATAAACTTATGCTTTTTATCATATTATCGCGATGCATAAACATGCAATATATATTAATTATCAAAATAAATAATTGGAAATTAAAATAACAATTAAATTGTCAATCATACTTAATACACGTGAGATTAATTATAATTACCAAACTAGATAGGCTATGTGTGTGTAGGGCTGAAGATGTGTTTATTACAAAACGCCCTCTCTAGGACCCTCAGTTAGCAAACACAATAACGCACGTTGTTATTTGAAGTCACGACAGCGAGAAAACGCTATCTTCTGTAACACAAAATAAACACTCAATGATTTTAAGACTCATTCAACTATTTAGCTTAAAAACTTAGTAACGTTAGGAACGACCCGTTTCACCTTTTCAACATTTTAACTTTGTTTGAAATAAAATAACAATGCCGTTTCCTTTATTCGGTTTTAAGATGATAATGTATTTTGTTAAACAATGCGTGTTTCTCCTCCAGGCCGATAGCTTTACTTCCAAAATAAAAGAAATGTAGACCTGGCTATTGATATGAGTTTTGACACTACTATACGTTTCACTATATACTTTCACTATATACGTTTCACTACTGTACGTTTCACTATATACTTTCACTATATACGTTTCACTACTGTACGTTTCACCACTTGCTTAATAGATTTCTCTCTTCTTGAATGAGGTCAGGTAATAAGAGCTTTTCCGGTAATACTCCAAACCTTAATCCCCTAGATAAAACTCTTAATTTTTACCACCTCTGTAAGAGTGTAAATGGATAGATTAGTAATGACTTTTTATTATCCCCTCTCTGTTTTTTTTTTCAATATTTGTAATTTCTTAACATGGTTTAGTCTAAAGCGGATCACATGTGAAAAATCAACACAGCTGACATGTTCTCATGAACAGCCAATTTAGTCATCGATGTCCTGAACATAGTTGTTTTAGCAGCGGAAGTGACACTTCAAGCAACCGGTATTTTAAGAACGAACACATATCGTAAAAACATTTTTTTTTTAAATTTTATTTAGAATTTGATACGCTTCAGTGTGCAGTTTTACTAATAAAGACTTTAGTAAAGGGAACTATTATAAGTTTAGGATCAAGTGTTCAGCGTGCATATCTGCTGACGGAAGATCCAAGGTTTATGTCGCGATATCCCGCTGAACACCGTCCACACTTTAATCAGTGGGAATGTTATAATTATAACAGTCAATCCCACTAATCGACAACGAGTAGCCGCATTAATTTTCTTAAACAACAGAAACTTTGCTTATGATAAGAAAAAACATATATAATTTCCACATAACATAAGATAATTAGTTTCCACATGACACAAGATAATTAGTTCCATATAACATAAGATATATAGTTTCCATATAACAGCAGAAGATATATAGTTCCATATAACATAAGATATATAGTTTCCATATAACAGCAGAAGATATATAGTTCCATATAACATAAGATATATAGTTTACATATAACATAAGATATATAGTTTTCATATAACATCAGAAGATATATAGTTCCATATAACATCAGAAGATATATAGTTCCATATAACATAAGATATATAGTTTACATATAACATAAGATATATAGTTTCCATATAACAGCAGAAGATATATAGTTCCATATAACATAAGATATATAGTTTCCATATAACAGCATAATATATATAGTTTCAATATAACAATATAAGATATATATTTTCCATATAACAGCATAAGATATATAGTTTCCATATAACAGCATAATATATATAGTTTCTATATAACATACCAAAATTTGAATATTCAGATTTCATACTAGGTCGGAAAAGCCTTCGAGGTACCTGGGGCTTTGGAGGAAGACCGCAAGGTGACTCTTCGTCCGAAATAAGACCTGACCCCTAGTGAAAATAGATATATTTAGAAAAGGTTTAGATGTGCTCTCGAGTAACGTTCAATGGAAGCACAAGGGATTAATATAAATAATTATCTTATTATAAGATTTCTCGTGAAACCAAATTTTTTAACCGAAAGATTCAAATAAAAACCTACCCGGAAGAAGAAAAACTTGCAAAAAAAAAGAAGAAATTACCTCTTTTAAAGCTAATTTTAATTTTGTTTACTTTTCTTATAATTATATGCACTGATTTAATTGAAAATAGAAAATATAACGTTTCCTTAAACAACTGAATCAAAACACGTTACCATGCTAATGAACAAAACAAAATTAATGTATTCAGGGTTAATAGTAACACGTTACCATGCTAACGAACAAAACGATTTGTTCATTAGCATGGTAACGCGTTATTATTAACCATGAATATAATAATTTTGATTTGTTCATTAGCATGGTAACGCGTTATTATTAAACCTGAATACAATAATTTTGATTTGTTCATTAGCATGGTAACGCGTTATTATTAATCCTGAATATAATAATTTTGATTTGTTCATTAGCATGGTAACGCGTTATTATTAAACCTGAATA